TAGGGAGCGCACGCGGTGGCTGGCGGTGCCGAGCTCAATCGGGGACGGGCAGGCGCGCCAGGGAGCACACGGTCGGGGCGGGGGCGCCGAGGCGAGTCACGCCGTGGCCAGAGACAGGAGGAAAAAGAGCAAAAAGAAAAAAAAAGTTATAGTGGGATATAGTTTCATTACGGGGTCTACTCTGCCCGGGGCAATTTCGCACCGTAAAAACGGTTTGCAGTGCCCCTTATACTCGTTTTTAATGGTCAACTTTTAAGGGGTCTGTTAGAGATGCTTTTAGGATCCTATTTTCTTTTCTAGTCCTAGCCATCCACCACTTGGTTGACATGTGTTGGCCATATAACAGGCAGGCTACGACGAGTGTACCGAGGATTTAGATAGTTTTTGTTCGATGGTGAGTGAGATAATTACACCTACAGTTCTTGTACTCTCCGGTTTGTAACATGATGGTCTTCAAACTTGCAAAGTGCTCCACTATGGCCCTTAAATACGAGAATACGCTTCAATATGGTCCTGGCTACATCTAGCGCTACTCCCCGCAATACTGTACAAATATGGGCCTCACATGTGAGCATATCAGAGAAAAATAAAAATAAAGTGGAAAAATTCAAAAGTAGCGGGTTAGAACCTGAGACGTCGTTGCTAGGTGAAAGCCAAGCCAACAACCAATCTGGCCGATTCCTCCTATAAATAAATGATCTAAAGGCTATAATAAATCAAATATTCGTTTGAAGCCATGGGACATGTAATTAAGCCAGCCAGTTAGCGTGCCATATATGTTTGAATATCTTCAAGCAATTTTCCTTATGCTTATCCTATTTCCATTTTATTTTATTTTACCAAGTTTGTATTATTTTACAATACGCTTTTCTTTCCTCTCTCCCAGTGCGTCTTGGGAAAGCCTTCCTCTTGTCGATCTCCGCCAGCGAGCCCGGGGATTCGCCTCCCTCCGCCTGCCACTCCGGCGGCCGGTGGCGGGGAGGAGATTCCTAGTGTCTTAGCTCCTGCTAGTAGATAGGTAGGGATTTAGTTCTCACAGACGTGGTGTTTGGACGGATGACGACACTCCTTTTTCGAGTCAGTCTTTCGGACTCCGATCCTCCTTGAGTAAATCTTTATAATAGATCTAATTCTTTTTGTAAAAAAAGGTTTGTATCATTTTTTATTTTTCATATAAACAAATCCAGTTATAGTGCATTTTAAATCTGTATTCTATTTTCATTATTTTGTGCCTTGAAGAGTTAAACATGAACTTACAAAAATTATGTGGATTTAACAAAAAAAATGAAGGAAAATTTATGTATCTTCATTCAGGACCACAAGCACGACACTTATTGTGCATCCTTACTATATTTTTTTAATACAAAACAGTTTAAAATAAATTGACAACAAGTATTTTGGATAATATTCAGCATGGTTTTAGAAAAATGATTATATTTTTATCCAATTATACGCCCAACTACTGTTTTTTTATTCTTTAATGTTCATGTACGTGTTTATTTTTCCTTTTTAACTTTTCCCATTTTAAAGAATTAAGAAAAAAACTACAAGAATTATTATTATATAATTTATGTATATTATTAAAAGTCATCAAATAAAAGGAAAAAAATAAACACAAAATGGTAAATAAAATAGAAGGGAAAATTTATTTATATTATTAAAAGATTGTCAAATAAAAAGAAAAATAAACACAAAAATGGTAAATAAAATAGAAAGGAAACCAGTACAATACTCAGGAGGTACATTACGCACTGATTTATATAAAGTGCTAGGTCATTTTTATACAACGATCATCCTCCGGTTTCTTGGTTAGCTCGTCTGTTAGGTAGACATGTGTGCCCTGTATTGTATGCTGACATGGCACAGGGCTGGGCTGCAGGGTGTAGTGGAAGACGTAGCTAGGACCGTATTGAAGCATATTCTCGTATATGAGGACCATAGTGGAGCACTCCGCGAGTTTGAGGACCATCATGTTACGCACCCGAGAGTACAGGGACTGTAGGTGTAATTATCTCATCGTGAGTTATGAGATATATACAAAAATGTCCGAGTTACGGGCGGCCATATCTTGTGTATTATCTATGAATTTTTTTCACCGTGACAATTTACGAACGACGGAGGGTTGATTATCATATCGACGCCTACGTACTGATCCAAGGGGATCATTATTTTTATTCGTGTATTTTGTACGTGGGTGAAAATTATTATTGGAGGTTCCGAGGAGGAACAAGGTGGACGACAAACAGTTGATCAAGAGTCGTCGTGAAAGATCGGGCCATCTACACGCACGAATTAGCGTCTCGCTAGTTTGTGTTTCATTAGATAGCATTCACGGTCTCCAAGGCAACTACCTTGAAAGTGGCACATTCTGTGTAACCACTTTAGAAATTCTGAGTGAGCGGTGCTCGGAAATTTTGAGAGAGCAACCGAAGGTTTGCCAACTACGTCGGTGGTTTCGAATGAAATGGTTGGCAGCTTCGACATGCTAGAGTTTGCAACGGCTATATCCAGACTGACTACTCGGCGGTTCGACTGGAAGAGCTTGGCAGCTTCGAAAAGGTAGGAAAGTTAGCTACATATAGTGGAGGAAATTCGAAGGCTTTTGAGGGCATTTGGTTTGAGTTTTAAGCACACAGAGAAAGAATCATCATAACATCCTCGTCCCTTTTAAATAGTATCGGCAATGTCTATGGACCCAGTGCAATCTTGGACCAGTAAAATGAAAATGGAGAATCCTTATCTTTGCCAACAGTTTTCCTCATGATAATTTGTGGGGCTCGCCTTTCATTTCTTTCGTTGCAACTCGAAGGAACTTTCCTGAGATAAGCTAGATAAATCATTAGTTCCTGGAGATATGTTGACATTAATTACCAAAAATCCATCAAGGGAATTAGATACACTTTTAGGTTTCCCTCCCTCCTGCCACCGATAGAGTAGTCGACGGGGGTGAGGAAACCCCGGTGATGTTGGTTGCCGGGTCACCTCTATTTTCTCTTTTCCGTATATGGGATTGTGGCGATAGGTATCTCACTAGGAAAACTTCGACACTGATGTTGGATTTGCAACGTTCTTATGGGAAGAGTTTCTTCACCGCCGGCTCGACGTGAGCTTGATTTCACCATAGATGTAATTGCAACTTGTGAAGTAGAGGATGGCGGTGATGACCTCGACAAGATTCACAAAGATTTATTTTGTGTCTTTGCCACATCCTTTTTATTTTTTGAATTCCTGCAAGAACACATATGCTAATTCCCAGTCGATGTTGAGAACTGTCAAAGATCCTGCATGATACCATAATTTCTAATAAGAAAAAACAAGTTCACCTGAGAAATACTATTTTTCAACCAACCGAGAGTCCGAGACGATACAATATGTTTTGCACCCAATGAAAAAATTATCACAACCGTGAACAATTTGAGATTTTCCTCAATCCCAATTTCCCACAACAACTTTGCACCCAAAAAAATATGTGAAGTATCTCTAAGGGCATGCATAATTTGTGTTTTGGTTTAGTGTGGGATTCAAGGTGGGCTGGGGGGAGGGGGCTAACATACGGTGGTTTTGTGTTTTTGTGTAGTGTGGGATTCGAGGGGGGTGCTAACGCATAGTGGGATTCTAGGTCATGTTTGTTTCAGCTTCAGTTGGCTTCGAATCACCGTGTGGGTTTTCGACGTACTTCGGGTAATTGCACTAAAAATGGTCGGGATTCAGATTCACCTTCTCTGGCAAAGCTAATTCCAAATGGTTGTTTTGTTTCAGCTTCTAGATTTGCCTGCGAGAATCTGTTTTTTTTTTTAAACTTGCCCTGCTTGTTTGGGCTTTAGACTTGCCAGCCTAAAGCCCAAACAAGCAGGGCAAGATCTAGATAGTATAGTAAAAGTATGTGTTATATGTAGTTCTAGAAGTGCATGCTCTAACCAATGCAACCAAAAAACCGATCTGATAGAAGAGACTAAGCAATACATTTATACGTCAACATTATATAATAGTTATAAGTTCTTTATGTCACCTCTTGTAAGTGCTCACATGAATATAAGCACCTCTCTTGTACAAGGGCTTGGAAGATCCCTCGGTCAAAAAAAGAAAGGGACTTGGAGGACCTCAAGTCGTTAAACCCATTTTTCTGTACTCCCTCCCCTAAACAGGACTTTTGTATTGAAACTGTCGCCCTCCCTTCTCTGTTTTCTCATTGTTCTCCTTCCTGTGATCCTGTCTACTCGATGAACACACAAAGAACAACTTCACCAATTTCCTTTTTTTTAGCAGATTAAACGTTTCTTCAGCAATGTTAAGTGTGTAGGCCCGGCGTTAAACCCATATGCAGGCCCTGATGTTGCTTTGTTCAGCTCTAGTGAGAAAGAAGCCAATCATATCCTCGTATCATTTTATACTTTCAGTGAGAGAGAGAATCAAACTATCAAGAACATACATAGTAGCATGTTTTCAGTATTACAGCTGCACAGAGTGTAACAACTTCACCAATCGAAGCGCCTGAAGAAAATTAACAATCAACAAACGAAATCTTCCATAATCTGCATTACTTGGCTTATTACACGCTTTTCATAAACAAGCTCCATACAAAACCAAGCCCCATGCCCCATGTTGCTCGCCAACCCAAAATCTATACAACAAACTTTGTTTTCAATATATAGGCCTCAAATATAAGCCATGCGACTGAAACACAGCACGCATAGCACCGCAAAGAATGAAAAATGACACAACCCTTGGCAGGAAACTGTCAGCACAACGTTCTCCCAGGTTAGTACGCCCTTCTTCGGGTAGCGTCGCCACTATGGTCATGGCCATGAGTCCAGAAGGCTGCCCCCTACCCCGGTCCTCTTTGAAGTTGGAAGAAGATCTACTTGCACCAGGCTGATTTGGGCGGCCATCTGGATATGCACTGTGTGGCGAACAATCAAGCTTGCAGACTGTACTGCTGTTGCCGCCAGTCACTAGCACTGTATAGCTATCTTCGCTCACTGTGGAACGAGTGTTGCTGTCTATTGATGGCGCTCTCGCTTCCCGATGCTGGGCCGTCTACTTGGAGACGGTGTCTTGCCACAGCCAGCTAACCTCATCACTGTTGGTGAAATGAAATCAACATTCAATAAACTATTTCATGAGTCGACTTACTTAGGAGTAGGTTACAGAAGCTACACTTACCTCTTTCCCTCTCAAGCTCCTGGTCCAACTCCTCTTTCCATTTTCGTTGCCTCTCAGCAAAGCTGATGCTGTTCACAGGAATAGGTCCCCTATTAGATCATGTACCAGTTCTAGCAGAGATGCAGTGCACCTAAGGTTTTTGCATAGAATTTCTGTCATCGAAGCAAGGTTTAGGTATGTAAGCAAACCTTGGGCTATCTTGGACATCAATATGAACTTTATCCCCAAGCTCATTGAGCTGAGGGGAAGCTATTTCTCTCAAAATCCGGCTGCTATCTACACCGCCATCTCTTGAGAATTGCCTGCTGCAGCTTTCAGCCATCGTACTGCTATTCAAAATGGTATCACAAGGCGTTGCCACCGCTGGACCTCCCCTCATCTTACCTGGGGGCGACTTTCCACGAGGGGGTAGTTTCGGACTATTTATGAATTTACCATTGGAAGTTTGATCAACTCCATGAGAGCTCCCGGCATTCACTTTATTGTAGAATTCTTCATATAAAGGTGTTTGTAGCTTCTTCAGATCAAGGGCCTGGCGAGAAAACCAGCAAGTAGCATTTAAGTACTAGCAGTAAGGTACTGTATTTGTGTATTCTCATAAGTGTAAAGTACCTTCTCATCAAGAAATGCTTCTATTTTTGACTCGGTAAGTACATCGTCATCTTCACAACTTCCCTCGCAAGGGAAGGTAAAATCATTTTCGGTCATGCTGCTTTCAGGATGCTTGGCTAATCCACCAAATTCCCTCGACTGATGAGAACTTTGCTCTGGGCTCATGTCGTACTTGCTTTTCCAGTCATCATCAAATGGTTCAGACATAGGATTATAGCTCTGGAATTGACAGACCCAAGAATTAAACATGAGGACATAACAACTTCTTTCATATTTCGAATTTTGAAATGCAGAGTAAAAGATCAAACGAAATTCTTAGAGAAGTTAACAGCTGAAGCAAAACTCTTACAGATCCAACTGCTGGATGATCGTCTTTGTCAGCAAACTCACACATGTCATCATCATCACCGCCACCCTCCCATAGGGGTTTGATTTTAGATGATCTATTTGAATTAATTGTTGACCAGTTGCCAGAATGATTCAAACCCCTGGGAGCAATTAAATAAGTTGCAGTGTCACAAAAAGAAAACAAAAATGAGATTGTGTAGAATGGCATGAACTCAGGAATCACAGGAGTTACTTACATCTCTGTTGGCGCATCCGCATCATGTGCGAAAAGCTCATTCACAGAAGCATCCTGTGTCATTGTTTAGAGAGGTTAGATTAGTACTAAGCCAAACAAGCTGAGCAAGCGACGTGATTATGCCAGCAATCCAACCTTCTGTGCAGTACGATTGAGTAGCTGCCGGTCATCAAATTCTCCGGTCACAAACGGATGCTGCAAGAAGTCGTTTGAGATGTCACATTTACAAACAAACGAAAATAGCATCATCATACACTTAGAACCATAGACATGTTTAAGATGCAGGAAATCAAATTGAATGTACCTTCAATAAATCTGACGCGCTAGACCTCAGCTCTGGTTCCCTGGAATTAGAAAATTACCCACAGCAACAGATAAGAAAATCAGAAAACTTCAGTTGCAAGTAGTTTTGTAATGCTTTCAGACAAAATATTAGTGAGGTGAAAGATATGACAACAACAGGCATACTTCTGCAAGCATTTCAGCAGAAAATCTTTAGCCTCTGGTGATATATGTTCAGGTATTGGTGGGTGCGACTTTGTGGTTCCAACATGAAATAGAAGCGCAACCTGAAAAACATTTTGTTAGTGCAATGAATAACCAAAAATAAAACAACTTTTAGGACCTGGGAGGACAAAAGTTTACCTCCTGATACTGCTGGCTCCATGGTGGTTTACCAGTAGCCATTTCAATGACTGTGCATCCCACACTCCAGATATCTGCAGAGCTGATAGATTGGAAGGGTGGGGATCAGCTCATAAAATAAGAACAAATAGAGAATGAGATGAATGAAATAGTTTTTTGTACATTAGAATAATCTTATACTCCCTTAGTTGTTAGTACAAATTAGATATCCATAAGAATCTTTTTTTTAGGTAAACACCCATAAGAATCTATTGAAGACAGCAACAGGTGTGTATATTAAAGCTACAAATTAAATATTAGCCGATTATCTCACAATAAGAAATACTGTTGCTGCTTGCTGCTCAGCTTGTTCTGTGCTTGGTCAAAATAAGGCATAAATAAACTAATACATCAAAATGGAACTGTAAGGCCATGTGGGTAACTCGGGAGGTAGACATATTGTTCTGACCAAGTAGTGCTTTCGTGCTTCCCCAAAATCTAGTAGTGGTCTAGTGGATAGTTCCAATCCAGGTTCATGATTTGGTATAAAATTTCCATTTTCCAAGTTATCAACTTACCACTGAAGTAGGGAAACTTTTAGCATTTTTTTATTTTTTAAAAGTATTGGAAAAATATAGAACTAAAATATGGTACTCTGGGATTAATAATTAGTGCATAGGCAAAGGCCTATCCAAATTCAAAAACAAAGGCAAGAAATAAAGTACTGGAAGCGTTTCACATACAAGGTATGCCCACTCCCCACAATGACTTCAGGTGCCATCCAGTGTGGCGTGCCTTTCATCGTTTTAGCTGCTGTCATAGTAGCCTGACACCAAAGCATTGAACATTGTCGTTAAGTACATTGACATGGGAATAACTTGCACAAAGAAAACACACAGTGACAAATAAATCATGACATCTAATAATCACAGATAAAGTTGTAGCAGGCGGGTAACTTATATACAATGATGTTGCAACACAAGTGCGGACAGTTATCAATGATACAGTGCACAAGGGTCTTTCCATGAAATTGATAATCATATTATCATAAGTTACGAGGATTGGCACTGCAGCATATGTTACCCCGCAAGAAAATAAGAGGGGGAAATAACAAACATGTTATCCTTGGGACCATCCTATTTTGTTATCCCTGGGACCATCCTATTTTGATTAAGCCTGCTTGGAACCAAACTCACACTTCCATGTTTCATGCACACAGGTAGTCAAGAGCAATAAATAAGAATCTATAATCTGATGGCATAATTAGACAGGAAAGGTTTAGCATTTGCTATTCTGTTGTAAATTATTGTTTTGATCACTTGACAAGCACATGAAGGCTTTATTTCTTCCAAGCTATTATACTCGACCTTAACAGCATATTGAACATCAATCTTACCAACTTGGCAACTTGCTTAGATGCCCCAAAATCGGCAAGTTTAATGCAGCCTTTGTTATCAACAAGAATGTTTGCACCCTGAATTAAAAACAATCCCATGATCATCAAGATAATTAGCATAACCAAACAATCAATGACACAAAGATTCTAGTATATTCAGGCTTCAGAGTTTTTACCTTAATGTCTCTGTGTATTATTGCATTGCTATGCAGATATTCCAACCCTTGCAAAATCTGCCTAGTATACTTCCTAATGACCTGATCAAAATACGCAACGAATCAGTTTCTCTTCTGCGAGTCAAATCACAGAAAACCGCATGATTGATGGTTACTTACTGCCTCCGGAAATGAACCGAGTTTTCCAAGAAGCGACTGGATAGACCCTCCAGGAACAAACTCCAGCAGGATGTTCAGTGTGTCTTCCTCACGGACAGTCCCGAGGTACCTCTTCTCAAACCACAGGAAGTAGATCAAACAATTGCAGTCTAGCAGTCAAGTATAGAGTATCTAAAATGTAATCGATCTTTCATCTACTCACCACAATATTGGGGTGCGAAAGGTTCTTGAGGAGCTTCACTTCTTCCTCAAGTTCTCTTATATGCGCCTAATCGTAGAAACAAAAGCCACAAATCACCTCACATAAAGGAAAGCCTCAACAACTAAATTGGTAACCAAATCGGTCGGAGAAGTGCTACTCACTTGGGCCTTCTCCCGGGTCGCGTTGGTGCTCCCGATCAAAACCTGGAACCAAAAATCAAACAAGGGAGAGAGTCAGTCTGACGAATGACTCCAAGTCTCCAGACAGTAGAAACCAGATCACAAAATCGCGAAATCCCGGCACCTGCTTTACTGCGAGTAGCTCGCCGGTGTCCAGGTTCATCCCGAGGTAGACCTGCCCGAATGCGCCGGAGCCGATCATCTCACCCTTCCGCCACCGGATCGGCGGGATCTCACCCGCTCGGCCGCCCCCGTCGGCGGGCACGGGCGTCGGCGGCAGCAGGCGGCGCGGCGGCGAGGGGCTCTTGGAGATGAGCCCGAGCAGCCCCATCCCCCTCGACTTGCGGAGGCAGGAGCTGATCCGGACGCCGATACCCCCGGCAGGGCCCCCGCCGAGGGGGCCCGCCGGGGGCTCCGGGGGCGCGGCGGCGCTGGTGCGGAAGTTGATGGATCGGCGCACGGAGTCGAACAGATCGTGGAACCCGGCGCCGCCGCCGGGGCCAGCGGCGTCCCGTCGCATGGCCCGCGGTCTAGGCTTGGGCGCGCACCTTCGGTGTCGTGTCGGCGGCGGCGTCGGATGGTGGGGTGGGGATCGAATCGGGGGGGAGTGGGGGAGGATGGAGGCGCCGCTCTCGGCTGCGGGATTTTGAAATTCTGGGGTTTGCGGGGGCGGTGAATGGACCTAGATGCCCCTCGCGACCGTTAGGCGTGGCGAGGAATCGGCTTTGGGGGTGGGAGTACGTACGTGTGGCCGCGTTGATTAACCGGGGGAGCGCTGTGCGCCAAGAACGGGTGCCACGTCAGGTCAAGTGGACAGGGAAAAGAAGGCGCTGCTGCCATGAAGCTCAGCCAGTTCAAATCCATACTAAATCAGCCACACTTGCTTCTTCCGTTTCTAAATATAAGTACTCCTAGATTTTAATAAAGACTACATACAGATGTATATAGACATTTTGAAGAATACGTTTACTCATTTTGCTTCGTATGTAGTTCACGTTGAAATCTTTTAAAAAAAACTTATATTTAAGAACGGACGGAGCATTTTGGGATGAAGAGAGTACGAAACTCTAAAGCATTTTGATATCCAATTATTTTTATAATAGACAAAATACTGGATATGTGAGTGCGCATGTGAGAAAGTAGACATGAATAATGCAGAAAATGACTCACATATATTGATGTGGATATCCCATTGATGCATAAACAAGAGTTGTGGCGTCAAATTTAGTTAACTTATTCACATTTCAATTTCCCATGGATTCAATGTGAAAATATCAATGATTCAAATGGTAATTTCATATGGCTACATATTTGCTTAGTATTCCATTGCGCTACTAAAGAATTTAGGGTGGATCTAATTTCGTGATCCTCGTGGCCCGCTCCCCTCCTCTAATGGATCAAGTCTACCAAGCCTAGCGTATGGGCTTGAGGTGTAAATACAATTGGCAAGTATGGCCCACCATATTACTTGGGGACTCGCTCATAAGAGCGGTACATGATCATCAAGAAATCATCCTCAAGTATACAATTTCTCAAATTGTATATTAAAAATATATTTTTGCATAAACAAACTTTTGGTTTGTAATAAAATGGTTAGGTGTGTACATTTTTTAGTACTTCTAACATGTTTATTGTGGAACTTATGGGTCCATCTAAACAATTTAGACACTTCAGAATATATCGAAAAGAGGGAGAGACATTTAGTCCATAATTGGGATGAGGGGGAGACATTTAGTCCAATGCCAACAAAAATGACCAGACAGAATTGGGAAGGGAGGAGGCTCTTTTTCTTTTTACTATGTATTGCAGTGCAAAAGCCCCATTGTCCTTTATTAATAAAGCACAAGGAAAAAGTCCAATACAAGTATTTACACACCTACCTCTAGAAAACATGAAAGAAAGAAAACCAAAAGCATCTAGACTAAGGCATAGAGGAATTCCATCTCAATAGGCCCTCTATGTATTTACATTTGATCGTGTGAGACAAAAGTGTTATGTCTTGAAGGAAATTTCTTCTCCAAGCAACAAATCTCGGTGCTTCATTTATGAATACTTCCGATTCCTCACAATCCAAATGTTCCAGGCAGCAGTAAAAACTACTTCAGAGAAGAATGGCTTATCAAAAGCATCCCTGAACTCCTTGACCATTTGAAACCAAGAACCATTGGGCTGCATCACCCAAGAAATTTGTAGATAGTTCCATACTCTCTGACTGAAGTTACATTCAAAGAACATATGTGATCTATCTTCATGAACCAACATAGGACATAAAACACAGGTACCATCATCCACATGCCAATGTCATCTCTGAAGCATATCACTTGTATTTAGTATGTCCATTAAAAGTAGCCATCCGAACACCTTTATCTTGAGAATGCATGAACATCTCCAGATCCATTTGAATATTTGATCCACCTGTTTGTGCTCAAATTCATCAGGTAAATGACTGACACTATAATGCCTGATATGGTGGACCATGTCCAAACATCTGACATGTTTGCATTTAAAGAAATATTCTCCAATATTCCAGACATCTACTACAATTCCTGAAAAGCTTGTGCTGAAAGGAGTAAATTAAACAAACCGGGCAAATCCACAGTATTGACCACATCATGGACAAACACTTTGCCATCGGTAACATAAGAAAACAACCTGGGGAATCTATCTCTAAGGGTTGGTACATTGTTTTGTTTAGCCAAGTGTCTGACCAGTACAACACTGAAATTCCATCATTTACCTAAAATAGTATCATAAGGAGATATATAAACAACACCAACACCTTGGCCATTGCTATGAATTGAACCATCAAAACATAATCTCCATAGTACTAGAGAGACAAGGTTAATATCAATATTATGCATGTCATAAATCCAAAGCTCAGTAATAAAACCAACAATAATTTGGCCTCTCATGGACTTGAAAGATTTGTAGGCCAAATTGTATTAAGTCAAAGCATAAGCCCACTCACCAAATTTTCTATGAATTTGTCTATGCAAAATATTTTTAATGGCACCAGTCATAATGTCTCATCTCCATGCAAGCATAATATATGTATAAGTATAGATTTCAAACGCGTACCTTGTCTCGCTCTCCAATCGAACTAAGGATGATGTTAGGGTACTACACCGGCCATACTTTGACATATTCTTAGGACGATATATAAATATCGACCATTAACATAAGGTACATCTAAACTTTATCCACCAAAGCATGTATAGCCTAAATAAACAAATGAAATGACAAATCAAATATTTTGGCCATTTGGATCAGCAATAAACTTGTAGCTAATCAAATATATAGTGATTTGATAATACCATTTCATGATATAAGAAATCATATTGCATCCATGGATCTAAATAAGCCCATGGAGGGTGACCGGTTGTACATGTGGATGAATTTCATGGCAAAGACATCAATGGCATGTTTGGTGAATATCGATGATGTGCTTGCCGAAGATTTTGATGGGTTGATGCAAACCTTTGGTTTAATTGTTTTTGGCTTCCATCCTCCTCTTTCTTCACTTTTCTAACACTTGTTGCAATAGAAGGTCGCACATCATTTTTATTTTGACTGCCCCTCTTGGGAACCCATGCCATGTTCTTCTTTTTGAGCTCTTGTGCACTAAGCTTTTGTAATTCCTTCTTTTTCCAATATTATAAGACGAGTGGGTGACTCGGCTGTGATTTTATTTCAAGAATTGGTAATTCTGTTTTGGCCTTGTGCACTCTCAACTTCTTCCCTTCAGATTTGGCACTTTGATTTTTAACAATTGATTGCTTCACTTCTTTGCCTTTTGTAGCCAATGTTAACTCTTTAATTTGCTCTTTTACATTTGAGATCAAATCTGAAGTAGCACTCTTACGACCATCTCTTTTAATGCGGTAAACTTGCTTGACCACCTCTTTCTTCTTCCTTGAGCTCCAGACCGATTCCTTATAATTAAAACGGTCTTTGACATGCAATTGTTTAAATGTCGATCTTCTCGAAGCTGCATAATATTGGTGAGATTGTCTAAAATAAGATGGAGAATGTGCCCTTGTATCATACATGTCCCATGATGGATATGGATCTACATGAGCACAGGGAGGCATCCATGTCATTGGCATCGGTTGCCCAAAATAAGGATATGAATATGTTGCATTAAAATTCTCACTTTGCTAATACCGATCCTCATACTTGTGCCTTGGGGGTGATCATGATTTCTTTGCATGATTTGGTCGATAAGCATTCTTCTCTTCACTCTTCTTTTGATATTTATCCAATAGTTCATCGAAGGTGATTTTTGATCTCTTACACTTGCGCTTATTTCGGCCCTTGTTTTCTTTTGGTTTGCTTTCATCCATCATTGGATTTGCTTGCTGCCCCCCAGTCCTGGGCGTCTTCATTGTAGTTTTGACTGAATTCTCACCCTCAAGATTATGTTCATTATGCTCTTCAACAACTTCTCTTCTTGAAAGCTTGATCCCATCACCTGCAGTTTTTACCTTCTCTTTAAATGGATCGGCTTGAAGCAGCCGATGGATAATTTTTTTGCCATCGGGACCAATTGGAGTAGACTGATCATCTCTTGGTGTTTCAACAAATTTCAATCATCCTTTTTCAATGGATGATTTAACTATTTGACGAAACATGTTGCAATCCTCGAAATTATGCTTGAACAAATCATGCAACTTACAATACATTCGTCCATGGATAGATGGTTAGACATTGTGATCAACAATTCTAATATAATTATGTCTCAACAACAAATCAAAGATTTGATCACACATGTTTGAATTGAAGGTCTAATTTTCATTCTCTAGTCGATCTTGTTATGAGAACAACTTTGGAATCAAGCACATGAATGGTTCAGATTTGGCATCTTCCCATTCAGCTATGAATTCTCTTCCGCATTCTTTTTCTGATGTCATTGGGTAAGATATTATACTAGCATCAGTTTTCTCAAAAGAATTTAACCTTGGCTTTAAGTTTCTGAAACAAAAATAGTTAGAACATACATGCCTCAATTGAGACCAAGTGTAATCCAAGTATGAAATAAGAAAAGCTACCCATGTAGTATAAACTTAAAATAAAATAACGAGGAAAGCTTCGATTGTAATAATTTTTCACTATCGGTCTTTCTGAATGGTGCAATATGTTGACCGATATGTTTTGTGACAATTTGATTGCTAACAAATAAATTACCCTCTTATTGGTCTCTCAATATTGCTTATGAAGATTTTTCTAGTAGATGCATCAATAACAAAGTTATGACCAAATCGGAATATAGGTAAATTACTTGCTAAACATACCTCTTCAATTAGGTTGGTAGAGCATGATGGTGATGTGACTTGAACAATATCTTGATCCGTCTTTGGATGGCTCCCCAACGCTTTTTCATGACCTTTTTCTTGATTTCATGCATCTTTACTTTGAAGATCCTTGTAAACTAAACTTTGTTTGGCTACTTGTTATTGTCCTTAAGGCTTGTCCATTTCTATGGCACACAACTCTTTGGATTTGATGGACTCGGAGTATATA